TTTCTTTTTCACAACTTTAAATAGATTTTTGAAATATAATATGCATTCCATATAGCCCACCCATTTTATAGTACAATAATTTTTAGTAAATCTACAGAGTTACACAATAGTCACCACCATCTCATTTTAAATCGGTTCTATCATCTAAAAAGTAATAGACAGATGTGCTGATATGGAGACATAAATGCCATACCAAACTACATTTTGAAAACCAACCACAGTTTAATATTCCAGGATTGGGGGTTGTTGCAATTTAGCCACTGATACTTGATGTTATTTTCCAAATTATATAAAGTGGCGGTTGAATATGGAATCATCTTAAAAGAACTCCAAGTCCTGGGTGGACAGAAGGACCCAAATAGGCTAAGTCTATGAGCTGAGAACTTTAGAAGAAGGCACCATTTTCATTACATGAATTAAAGTCAGAAGGGCTGCCAGTGGGAGAGCCTCTGAAAAACACATGAAAAATCCCAATAAGCAAAAGTGCCAGCACTTTCTATTTCCCTCTCATAGGGTACCAGCGACAGATTAGAGCTGTATTACCCTTTCCCTTGACCTATGTGTCCCTAGGCAGATCATGGAGCCATCACAATCAGGTACAGTAGACATCTGACTGAAAAAGTTATTAGAAGGATAGAGAAAGAAGACAACTAAATATCCCACTTTGGAAAGGCTACCTTCCACTCCTATGCAAAACTAAGTGCAGGGGAGGCAGATGTTATAAAGCAAATAAATTGGGAATTTTTAAAATCTTTATTGAGATATAACTGACCTGCAATAAATACTTATTTTAAGCGCACAGGCTGAAAAGTCTGACAAATGCTTGAACCTATGTTACTATCACATTTTCATTACCCCAGAAAGTCCCTTCATCTCTCTTTACAGTCAATCCCTTGCACAAACATGCCACCAGACAATAAGGGCACTTTGTGGAACTACGAAAATATCCTGCATATTAATTAGAGTTTTTGTGTTCAGTATTATGTTGTTGGTGAATAAGGCAGGTTTTTGTCTTCTTTTATAATCTTTTATTTCTTTTTCTTGTCTTATTTTTTATTTTCCTGGTTAGAGCCTGTAGCAGAATGGTGAAAACAAAAGAGTACAACCTTGCTTGTTGCTGATGGTTGGGAAAAACTATTCATATTTTTCAATATTATATGCGATGTTAATTCCAGGTTTTTAAAAAAAATAGCCTTCATTAGATTGAGGAAAATCCCCTACTCACTGCTAGCTCTGATAGTTTTTATCATGAATGAGTGTTGAATTTTATCAAATTCATCTACTGAAATGATCATGTGGTTTTTCTCCTTTATTCTATCAATCTGGCAACTGATTTTCAAAGTTAAGAGAAAAACAAAACCGTATTTTAGGGGTAACACCACTGGTAGTGTCAGTATCACTTTTACGTATTGCTGTATTCAAATTGCTAAAATGTTCTTAAGAATTTTCCCTTATAGGTTAATTAAAATATATTTGGTGCTCTGCTGCTCCATATATATATCTTTTTTTCCTGTTGTTGCATGCATTTTTTTATAAATGACAAATAAGTTAAATCAGTTTGTAGAATAAAACCATCAGGTTCAGCTATTCTGTAACTTTACTGTTTTCTTCCTATTTGTTGTATCACTTACTTGAGAAAGGAGTGTTAAAACTTCAAAGTATTATGGAGCATTCAGCCCATTTACATTCAGTGTTATTATTGAAATATGTGGGTTTAGAGTCATTGTGTCCTTTGTGGGATTCATGCTTGTGGTGGTGTCTCTGGTATCTTCATTCCTTGCAACACTTCCCTCAGAGAGTCCTCCTCAGGATTTCTTGTAGAGCTGGCTTAGTGGTGACAAATTCTATCAATTTTTGTTTATTTGGAAAGACTTTTATCTCTCCTTCTATTCTGAATGAAAGGCTTGCTGGATAGAAGATTCTTAGCTGCATATTTTTTCTGTTCATCACATTGAAGATCTCCTGCCATTCCTTTCTGGCCTGGCAAGTTTCAGTAGATAGGTCGGTCACCACTCTGATAGGTTTCCCTTGTATGTTAGGGCCCTTTTGTCCCTAGCTACTTTCAAAATTCTCTCTTTGTCCTTATATTTTGCCATTTTCACTATGATATGTTGTGCAGAAGATCAATTCAAGTTACGTCTGAGGGGAGTTCTCTGTGCCTCTTGTATTTCAACGTTTACTTCCTTCCCCAGGTTGGGGAAGTTCTCTACTATAATTTGTTCCAGGACTCCTTCAGCACCTTTCCCTCTCTCTTCCTCTTCTGGGATTCCTATGATATGGATATTGTTGCGTTTGACCGTATCGCTGAGCTCTCGAACTCTTCTTTCATGTTCCTGAATCAGTTTGTCTCTTTTTTTCTCAGTTTCTTCTTTTTCTATAATGGTGTCTTCTAAATCACTTATTCTCCTTTCTGCCTCTTCAATCCGTGCATTGGACGCCTCCAGTTTATTATGTATCTCATTTATCGCATTTTTTAATTCATCATAACTATTTTTAAAATCCATGTTGTATGTAGCCATAGTTTCTTTAATGTCCAATATGCTTTATTCAAGCCCAGCAATTAATTTAATAATTATTATTCTAAAATCTTGTTCAGTTATGCTGCTTATATCTGTTTTGAGCAGTTCTTTAGCTGTCAATTCTTCTTGGAATTTCTTTGGAGGAGAGCTCTTTCGTTTTGTCATTTTGGTTATCTTTTTATCTCTTGTTAGTTTTAAAGACTTGTTATGCTCTCTGCACCTGTGAGCACTGCTGTACCCAAGAAGACTCTTTGGCTGTCCAGGGCCTATCCTTTCAGAAAGTGTTCTTTGAATAGTATCTCTTGGTCTCTCTTGTTGAGACCTTGGTTATTTTATTTTCCTACTCGTAGTGGTATTTGGGACTGTCCACCATGTGTACTTTGGCTTGTTTCTTGAGGTAGCCCTGGAGAAGAAAACAGACAGACAAACACACAGGGAACAGAGGCACACAAATGCACAGACAAATCCAACAAACACACAAACCGAGAGGGAAAACGAAAAAGTAAAGAGAAAAGAGGGAGGAGGGAAGGCAAATAATAGAAAATAAAAGTATATTAAAAAGTCAAAAAGAAGAAAAGAAAATGGAAAAAGGAAGCCGATAGACAAAGAACAGTTTAAAGCATGTAACCAGATCTCCCAGCTACAATTAAATAGCCAGGTGTATGCAGTGTTGGTTGAAGAGCATAGAGAAAGATGACAGGGCGGGGATGAGGCAAAATTGGAAATAGAATGAACAGGCAGAAGGGATAAGAAGATTTTTTCAAAGAGTGAAAGGGTGGAATATGGTTGAAGAGGTGAGAGAAAGATGCTGGTGTTATCCAGAGAAACTATATAGTCTGATCAGTCCTGAGAGAAAGAGATGAAAAGGTAGGTAGGTGTAGAATTTACATCTACAGAATGGATTAAATGTGACTGTTTAAGCAAGCCAGTGACCAGAATTAATCAGGTCAGTGCTCCGATTAAAAAAAAAAGGTGGGGGGAGGAGGGCAGCTTTCTAGCAGGGATGGGTGTGGTTTGATCCAATGCATTAGGCGGGAGTTCGGCCTTGGGGCCTGTGGGGAGAAGAGTGGAGGCCCTCCAGTCCCTTCTTGAACCAATCACTGCAACACACTTTTTTGGGTGTGTAAACTCCCCATGCCTGGGGCACAGCCAAGGTGGGTCGCGCTCTACATCCCAGGCCAGGCCTCATTTCCAATTCCCAGTCTGCGTGCACCACTGAAATTGCCGTAGACACAAACTCGCAGGCGATCCCCTCAGGGCAATTCCAAGCCTCTTGCCTACCCCCTGGGGATTGAACCAGAAGCCGCTGCTCCAGTCTCCTCTAGGTCAGGGTGGCGAGCAAGGACAGGGGTCCCCTGGGAATGCTTCCTGCCTCGGGTCCGCTGGAGAGCGGGAAACTGGGTCCCTCTGTGTCTTGTCACCTGAAACACGAACTCATGGGCAAATCTCCCAGTTTTAAGCCCTTTGCCTCCCCTCTAGGGATCCAGCCGAGCCATAAGCACAAAGGCACGGTCAGCACACAGCGCCTCCAGGTTGAGTTGGCGCACGCAGGGAGTTGGCGCGTGGGCAATTGGCGTGCAGGGATTTGGCATGCACGCAGTTGTTTTCCCTGGGATTGTTTGGGACAATTGCGTCCCACTTAGGGTCAGCTGGAGAGCCAGAGACCAGATCCCTCTGTGTCCCAAGTGGAGGTTTTTCTGTTCCCCAGTGACAGGGACTGTGTCTTGAGCAGTTTCAGCCTCTCTCTTTCCCCTCTCACTCCCCACAGAGGGGGATCACCCCCATCCCTCTGCATCTCTGGTCCCGGCCCGATTTTATCTTCTCCAGTTCACACTCAGGTTAGAAGGTTTTCTCAGTGGACTCTGTCTCCTTTTCCTCCCAAACTCCTGGATTCTGTAAGGGTTCCTATGGCTTCAGGTCTTCTCCGTGCAAGATATGGGGGCGAGTGCAATGTACGGAGCTCCCTACTTCTCCGCCATCTTGCCCCTCCCTTCCAAAACTTTAAAGTATTATGGAATTGTCTGTTGCTACTTTCAGTTCTATCACTTTTTGTTCTATGTGTTTTTGAAGGTATATTTGATTATCACATATTATGCATTGTCCTATTCATTACTATGAAATAGCCCTCTTTATCACTGATGATTTCCATTGTTCTAAAATTTATTTTGATTGATACTAATATGCATTCCACTTTTCTTAGTATATTAGTATAACTAATATTAACACAGCTTTCTTAAATGAAAGGTTTTTATAATTTTTTTTTCAAAAATTTTCCCTTTTTATCACTTTCCTTAGCTCTCTCTTTGTATATATTCTTTTTCTCTGGTACTTATTCCTACAAATCCAAAACCCATCTTTGTGTCTTCAGCGTAATGAGACTACTACTTTCTCCTTGGACTTTTCTCAAATTGGGAGCTTTCAAATGACACTGAATAGTACTTTTTAAATACTAAAATGAGATGTCTCATCATTACGACTCACCAATAATGTAGAATTTGCACCAAATTTCTTCCAAGGACAATAATCCAGTTGAGTTAAATATTCCTAGGTAAGAAAGAGTAAAATTTTTATATGAATGGGTTATGCTTGTCATAGTTGTTTATTTGGTACAATAACAACATAAAGAATAAATAGCAATGCAAGGCTAGCAACATCAAAGAAATATATAATAGATATATCATTCCATTTGAAAGTAGGGGATGTGTTGTATATTCTTCTTAGAACAATCTTGATTTATAGTTGGAGAAAGAAGAATCTGCATAAACCAGACCATTTTAAAGAAAGAAGTGAGCTCTTTACTTATGGATAAAATGCATCCTAAAATGATATGGATCAAGCTGCCTAGAGAATTCTCAAATTGTCCCCTTAATTGTTGGAATATTTGTGTTCCCAGTCAGTAGAAACACATACATGAGAAAATACTCTAAGGAAGGAAGGAAGAGGCCTCAAGACAAAAATAGAGATAGAAATCTTTCAAATGGTACCAATGATCTTGTGCTAAAAAAGGCTTAAAGATAAAATAGAAGAACTATGCAATTTAATATCACCTACTGTGTACACAATCTAATACTAGACACAGGTGATGTGAGATGTAAACTTTCATTGGAGAGTCTTCTCTTTAGGAATTGTCATCAATGCATTTTCTGAACCTAGCTCAGAACTGTAGCAATTTCCTAGTGATTTTTGGCTTTTTCTTAGATTACATAGGAAGCTGTGAGTTCACTTGGGCTTCCTTTTGATTAAGATACAGTTTTAAATCGATATCTGGATTACTAAAACCGATGACTGTTTTTTAATACTAATAAAGTGGAAGTTTTCCTTGGAAATCACTTTATATTACATCTGGAATCTAGGAGAACCTCATCATATTCTACCCTGGAAACTCTTCTTCAATGTACATCCTGAAATTTTCATCCTTAACACGTATTTTCTCAGTTCTTTATTTTTTTTTTTTTACAAATAGTTTATTGTCAACAGTTCTTCACTTTATGTTTTACTTTATATTCCAACTTTGAGATTTGCAAATAGAAATTCCTTCTAAAGTATAAAACTATGAAATCCAAATATTCTTAAAAGATTACAAATCTTCATTTCATTTTAAAGTTAAGGTAACTGGTACCCTTATATATATTAACAAAAACCACTATTATTTTAAGTTTTATTAAACACTTTATGCATGATATACCCTGAAAATACACCACAGGAAGAAAAACACATTTACTCCTCAAAGATCTTCTGACTCTTGGTTTTTTAATTAGTAAATTGGGTACAATAAAAAGTATTTGCTCTGACCATTGGGGAAGTATTTTAAAATGAAACCCGGTAAGTAATGAAATCTGGGTGCAAACACAATTAGGAATGATTCCAGAAGCTGAATATTATCTAATATGATATTCAGAAAAATTCTGAAATACCCTAAAGAAATTATACCTTAAAATAAGCTATTCAAGAATTAGAATGTTGAAAATGGATTAAATCCCCCTAAACTTCTATTTGTTAAGCATAACCTTATGGTGCCAAAATGTGGAGTATTTGATAGTAGGGATCGTTATATCACTGCCCAGTACCAGAAAATACTACACATCCATTGTCAATGGGGGATGGCAAGCTTGAAAAATCAAATATCGTCTTGAGAATATTTTAAAAGACTCATCAAAAAAATCCCTTTTATTTTCAAAGAAAGTATTAAAATGAAATCATGCATGACTTCAAAATGTATTCAGATTTCTCTATAGTGTATAACAATAGGGAATTTTATCAGATTACATTTTCAATAAAAAGAGTTTGAATGAGTTTGATGTGATTTCTATTTCAATCACAAGGGTGACCTACACAGGTATCTTCTTCTTCGATCATTTTATTTCTGCTCCCTCCATCTGTATTTTAACCTGTTAATATGTGGGTGAATTTGAGGAAAAGCAAATCAGTTTGACCTTTAATGTAAAGTCATTTATGTATGATCAAAACAGTACTATTTCCAATACTATACAGAATGTGGATTTTAAGATTCAAAAGCACGTGCCATTCTCAGCAACCTGGGAGGAATGATAATGTGACCACTGCTTGAATGATAATTTTATCTACATAACTGCCTTCCATCCTCTTACCTTCACTGTATATTAAGACTTCTGCCCAAAGATATATGTTTAGCCAAGCTGTTTTAATATAACATATTAAACTTTAAAATGATTCAAGGACAAACACTGGACTTCAGCTCACTGTAGGATGCCACATTTTCTTGCATCTTTCCCTCTCGTTTTTAGCAGCTATTTTACCACTAAGCCAGAAAAGAAGGAATTATGCAGGGAAATTGCTATCAGCTGCTGCCCCTGCTGGATTACAGAACCCAGAGCGTAATAGTTTCCCCAGTGGAGCCTCTAAGGACTTGGGCCAAGCCATTAACCACTGCAAACACCTAAGGGAAGAAATAGAACAGAGTAGAATGGCTCTCAGGCATCCCAGGAGATTTTGATGCAAACACAATTTATTTAAAATGCAGATGTCCAGGGCCTATCCCTGGAAATTCCTATTCAGTTGATTTGGGGTAAAATCCAAGAACAGGCATTTTTAACACATGCAGATATTTATATCTGAATTACTGACTGAATTTTAGAGTTGGCTTTTGTTTGTGTGAATTATCTGCTCAGATTCAAGTTTATAATTGAATGGACTTAAGAATGGAATGTCAAGATGGACCAGGTATATCAGAGCCTAGGAGATAATGGACACTTTATTTTTAAATTAATGCAATAATACATATAAGACTACTGACATATGCCTCCTGGCATTCTAGTTTTGTACGGTTCTGTATGGTTTGGACTTCTCAAGGTTCTGCTTTGTATTTTGAGACTTGTTACAAAGTGACTAGCTTATTCACTGATATCTATGATGTACTTACTCAAAAGAACAATTAAAACCACTATATTTACTTTACATTTCTTTATAATCCAATCTCCATTACATCTCTGAATTATATACTCCCAAATCCCTAGGCTGTTCCTACTGCCTCCTTCATAAATGAAGTAGTAAATTTTCAGCTAGTTACTGAAAGGTAGACAGAACTTCCCTACATGAAAAGGAAGAAGTGAGGTTATTGGATATGAGGAGAGAGACCTATAAAATCATAAAGCCACAGATTATGCAAGGAATGGAACCAAGAAAGGGATTTTTTTAAATGAGGAAAAATGGATTAAATATTATTAGTTCCATTATCTGAAAGGTTGAATTTGTGTTACTGAACATCCAGGTGCATATGCTCAGTAGGTAAGCAGAAGAGACATAGAGTAAAATTTTAGAAAGAAATATTGTCTTGTATTTGAAATCAGATAAGTGAATCACATTCAAATAGTTCATAAAGAGGTGGTAAAGAAAGAAAATTCACCTAAGGATATCTGAAGCTCCAATTGGCTTTATTCAATGAGTAAATGAATTGGGCAGCATTCTATGTAGCAAACAGAAAGGAGCTTTAATGAACTATAGTAAAGAAAGTTTTTTAAAGTCAGAGAAGATCAGAAAAAAAAAAAAAGGAAATTATTAGCAAAGAATGCACTGGTAGGCATTCTAAGGCAACATGAGTGTTCTCACTATTGACTGTGTCCTAGTGAGACCCCACCACTCCAGATTGGGTAGGGCAGCTGAAACTGCAGTTAGATTAAGGTATCAAGTCTTGATTTGCTGATGTGGGGCTTTAACATAATGGCTTCATTTTGAGCCCATAGTTTTCTTTTTGTCAGAGGTTAGACGTAAAGGCTGAGGGCGAATGCTATTAAACAAAAGGGAGGCAGAAAAGATGGAATGCCATCCTCTCTATTTCCCTATTTCACAAACCAGCTGTCTTTAAACCCAACTCACAGGCCCCTCCTTCCTTAAATCTTCCTCTCATCTGTATTTATGATGATGGAACTTTAAATCAAGGTGCAGATGGCATAGTGGACCACAGGGTATGAGAGCTAAGACAGAAGGCAGAGATCACAATTAGAGAATAGACCACCAATTGACCTATTTTTTGGCTAGTCATATGCTATATTTCTCTCTCCTTCTGGGTCAGAAGTTCCTTAAGATCAGCAATCACGTCCTCAATCTGGCCACCTACTTGCTCATTTGACAAGGATTAACATCTTGCTATGGAGACTTCTATATAGTGACACACATAACAAACAAAATGATTTATTTGCATTTACTAAAGAAGACAGTATCTCCGCATCCAAGGATAGTTTAATTCGCAAGACAGAAAACCATCATATCTCGCCATTTTACAGCATGCTGGGGGAAAGTATGCAGAGGATTTTTCCTCTCACAGTGATGTCTTGCTGACAATAGGCAGTGAATAATTGAGGACAGAATGCAGTGAATGTATCCATGTAGATTTGAAAGAAATTGAAATAGAGACATGGGTGATAGCACGGGAATGTGCATTTGTACCATTTTTGGTGGTTTTCACCTTATGTCCTATTTGTATATGTGCAAATTCAAAACATTCAGGGAGATGATGGTATCTAACAAAATTAAGATTTGCAGGGATACTTGACCTCCTTCAAATCAAAGCAGGTTAATCAGATAACAAACTACTTTTGGTCATTTCTTTCTTTCATATCCTCAGCTCTCCTTTCACTATATTTAATGATTTCAATAACTTATATGCAATATACACCTCACTTGAACTGCTGTTGTGAAACAGCCTTAGTCTCTGGTCCAACTACCGTATATATCATGTGTGTTAATGAGCACAAATTTATCAGCTCCAGTGCAAAATGAATTAACCTCTGACTCCCAGTTTCTTAAATACTTAGAGATGTCTACTCAATCAATAGAGATGTGGTGGAAAAGTCACTCTCCTGACAATGCTAGCTTTCCAATGTCTGGATTTTTAATCATGATGAGGGTATTTTCTGAAATTTTCACAAAAAATTCTAATAAGAGCCTTAGTATTTCTTTGTTTTGTTTTGTTTGTATTTAAATGTTGTTAAAATGGTTTTTTTACTTAAAAATGTTTTTTTATTCTTCATAAATCCAAATAGATAAAAATATTCTTTCTCAGATGTTGA